AGGATGAATATAACAGGTGGCATGCACCTAAAGGATTAGAATTTGGAAGGATAAGGCCCAAGATTACCTCAGGCTTGTACAGATAAATATTTGCAAAGACAGCAAGAACAGTATTTGGAGTATGTTTCAGAAATAAAAAGTACCTGTGAGCTGGCATGGATGGATAAGTTATAACTCAAATGATTATCATTAAACTACTCTCAAAGATCAAAGGAATTAAGAAGGATAGGAGAGGTGCTTAAAGACTGGATTTATGCAAATATATTACCACTTCTAATAATGAAAAAGAAGGGAAAGTTTTCAATCTACGAATCAGTGAGCTAAATATCTCCTGGGTGAGCTTATAGAACAGATTTTCAAGTAGGTACTTAGGAAATTACAAAGGTATCAACAAAGACATTCACACAAATCTAATTTTACATCTGACATGATTATTAGAGGTAGTTTATGGAAATACAGCAGACATAATGTGTACATTGAATGAATGAAATTTCAGCAAGATTTTAATTTCTTTTATGACACTCTTATGAACAATAATTATGAACCTCTATTGGTGGGTTAGATAATTAATACAATTATATATTAATTAAATTACTACATTCAAAGAGTGCTGATTAACAGACCATAGACAAAGGAAGAGTTTTTGATGGCCTACTGCAAACCCTACCTTTGGCTTAATGTAGTCATTATTTTCCTAATATTCTACTTAAGCTAACATTTAGAGCAGATGTCTTATAGATTTAAAGAAAATATGAAGCTGGAAGAAAAGTAATTCAATCCAATTCCCACAAACATTTATAGATTCTTCTAAATACTAGGAACCGTGTGATCTTCAGGTACAAAAATGAATGAGACAGGTCTTCCTATTGAGATGCACCCAAGTGTTAGTAGTATTAAAGACATAAAAACATAATTTCAACAAAATATATTAAGAAGGAAGATAGAGACATAAGCAGAGTATTAAGAGAGAACACAAGAAAAGCTAGTTCATTCTGGAATGTAGGGAAAAACTCTTAGATGACACGATATTGCCACTCTTTCTTGAAAGATGAATGTAAGGGAGAGTAGGAAACGCTCCCAGTTTGAGGGAACAAAGAGCATGAACATGAATTTCCTAGAATCAGCAAAGAGTATACTGAGTCTGGGAAACTATAAACAATAAAGTACAAAAAGGTAAATAGCAGGAATGAAGCTGAGATTTAGTTTGGAACCAGGTAATCTGAGGCATTACATAACATGATAGGAAATTGGATTTTACCTTGAGGGCCCTAGGGATCCAGTCAAAGGAAATGACATACATACCTGTTTTAGTTCATTCTTCCTACAGTGTGCAAAAGTGGTTTGAAGGGAGGACAAATGTGTGTATGGAGAGACTAATTAGGAGGTTATTTCAATCTCTGAGTGAGAAATAATGGTGGTCCTGGGCTAGGCTGGTGGCAAGTAGAGGTATAATACATTGGATCAAGTTTTAAAATCATTTATGGGGTAAAAGTTATTGTAATTTGACAGTTATCAACAGGGGAGAAATTTGAAAGAGAAGGTACGAAGTTTGAAATACAGATTTCTGATTGAACCAGTTGTAACTGATTGTATGGTTCAGCACTTGACTGTGAGGAAGAACTGTATGGAAGGGGCCAGTTTAAGTGTAAGGAAGATTACGGTGACAATAAAAGGTGGTTCATGAAGACAGGAATATTTGTTTTGTTTGGTGATATATTTCCAGTACTTATAACAGTGCCTGCCACCTAGTACATGAAAAGATGATATATTTGTAATAGGAGTTTTAGGAGGAGAGGAGAGAGAATGGTACAGAAGCAGTATTTGAAGAGATGATGACTAAAAGTTTTCCAAAACTAGCAAAAGCACTGTATCATTTGGTATTGCTGCATACCAATTTACCACATACTTAGTGGCTTAAACCAACACCCATTTGTTAGCTCACAGTTCTGTAGGTCAGAAGACCTGGCATGGCATGGCTGGGTTCTCTGGTCATTGTATTAAAGGGTGAAGTGGGAATGTTGACAAGGCTGTGTTCCTTTCTGGAGGCTTTGGCCAACAATCCACATCTAGCCTCATTCAGATTGCTGCAATTAGCCCTCCATGAGATTAGTCTTCTAGCAGAAGACTGCTAAGAGGTCCTGAGTGGCCATGCAGCAGCCAAGATAACGGGATGTTTGTTTCTTGAGACAGTGGAAAGTGTTATCAAGGGGAGAGACACACTTCAGCATCGCCTGGAGGAGCTGGGGAATGACCTATGGGATGCCCTTAAGAAGGAAAGAGTTATTGAGAATACGTGTTCTAGAAGCCACCGGGGGCAGGGAGGGAAGAGTGGTGCCTTCAGCCCTGGAGATGGTAGAGTAGATGTCAGGGCAGGATGAAGGGGTGGGGCCAAGGGCCTAACTGTTGCCGAGGCCACCACCTGAGGCACCAGCCTCTCCCGTATTAAAGTCCCTTCCCGGTTGTAATTAAGAAAGTAAAAACGCAACAACCATGGGCTCCTTGGGGAGAAGCAGCCCCCTCCCCAAGGTGTGGAGCACTCTATGCTCCGCCCCTATACCCAGGATGAGCTGGGGGACATGAGCATCTGATTTCAGCAGAAGCCGTAGGAACCTCTGCCTACATGGCTTTTGCATCTCTGGGATATGGGGTTGGAAAACATTGTTGTGTCGGGTTCTGACGTGGACCAAGTGTCCAGCGGTCCTCTTCCTCCGGCCTGTGGGCCGGGGTAGGGGTAGGGGGTCAGTCCTGCTGGATCACGGCTTTGCCACTTTACCCTTTTCTGTAAAAAAATAATAATAAAAAGAAAACTAGAATATCCCTCTAAAATAAGTATCATCCTTTTAAATAACCTGTAGGTCAAATTTTAAAAATCACAATGAAAATTAGAAAATAATTTAAACTTACTAAAAATGAAAATATTGCATATCAAAACTCATGGTGAACATCACAGTAGGCAGAATACAGAGGATTTTTAGGGAAGTGAAGAGGTGAGACTCGGTATGATACTGTAATACATGCCATTATACACTTGTCCAAACCCATAAGCATAGAATGTACACCACCAAGAGTGAACCCTGATGTAAACAAACTGCGGACTTTGTAGATAATGATGTTCAGCAGTTGTAAGTAATGTGGTACAGGATGTTGACAGTGGTGGGAGCTACGTGTATATGGGGAAGGGGTTATATGGGAAATATCTGTATCTTTCAATTTTACAGTGAACCTAAAACTCTAAAAAGTATGTATCTTTATATTTATATATATTTCTGTTGTAGTTGATACACAATATTATATTGGTTTCAAGTGTACAACATAGTGATTTAACAGTTATGTACATTATTAGATGCTCACTGCAATTAGTGTAGTTACTATCTGTCCAGTTAGAAAGATGTTATGATATTATTGACTATATTTTCTATGTAAAAAAGTAAAATCTTAATTTAAAAATTTATCAGTGGCAAAAGATCTGAATAGACATTTGACTAAAGAAGATATATAGATGGCAATTAACACAATGAAAATATGCACAACAGCACCATACATAATTAGGGAAATGCAAATTAAAATGAGGTATCTCTGTACACCCATTAGAATGGCTAAATCCAAAAAACTGATAATGCCAAGTTGTAGTAAAGATGCAGAGGAATGGGAGCTCTCATTCATTACTGGTGGAATGCAAAATTCTACAGTTTGGGAATTTCTTATGCTGTTAAATATAGACTTAGCATATGACCCATTAATAGCACTCTTAGGTATTTACCCAAGTGATGTGAAAGCTGTGGTCACACAGAATTTTAGTATTTTAGTATGTGTGTATGGCAAGTATGGAGATTTCAACTGTGTATGATCTGGAAGCTGGTCCTGCAAACTGTTGATTGTTGATGAGGTTTCCTTGAAAGAATGGGAATGATAAATAATGAAGAAAAGAGACTTTCAGTTTTTATTCTATGTATTTCTGGGCTGTTTAGGTCATTTTTCTGATCTTTTTTCTTTGTCCAATAAACAAGTTTTATAAGTAAACACAAAACAGTGAAACACCTCTACAAAAAACACTAATCACTTGGGGTGCTCCTGTTTTTCCTGGGTACAGTTAACTACTTTCTTCTTTGCACATTTTCACTGTACTCTGCGCTAAAGAATATCCTAGGTAGTATTCATTCTCATCCTATATTTGTCTTTGTTCCCCATTAGATTGTGAGCTTCTTGAGTGTGCCTAGAATTGCTGACTAATTTGTGTTTGTATTCTCAGTACCTAAGAATGTTCATATTGTACACATGCTCAGTAATATTTTTGGGGTGAAATAATGAAGAAATGAATGAATATACTTCCTTAAGAGTAGACTTGTATGGAGTAATCCAGTGTAAAGTGAAAAGAGTATTTGATGAAGGATTGAGCATTAGACCAGGAGTTGGAAAATGTTTTCTCTGAAGGGCCAGATAGCAAATATTATAGACCCTGCAGACCACATATGGTCTTGATCTCATATTCTTTTGTTTTTATTTACAACACTTAAAAAATGTAAAATCCATTTTTAGCTTATGGGCCATATTAAAATAAGCATAGGCCATAGTTTGCCAGTCTCAGTCCTAGACAATACCTGTAGTTGGGAGGTTGAAATGAGGAAGTGTAGAAAATAATGTAACCCAGATACCAGCAGAGGCCTCTTTATGCTCTGCTCCTTGCCTCCACCTGTGAAATCTCAATAGGTTTGAAGGTAGCTCTCAATTTCCTAGCCCGTCACTTCAGAACCCTCCAAAAGTCATTAGCAAATTATGTTATAGTTCTAGCTGTGACCTTTGTAAGTGATTCGTTTCATCCCACATCAACAAGAATCTCAGTTTCTTCATCCGCTTACATCACACACACGCACATGCACACATCTGCTCAAAATAAGCATTTTGTGGGTTTAGTGACCTTAAGCAGTTATTGAGAAGGTTCACATCAAGCACCGTACAGCTTTTCTGCAGTTACATGGCTTTCTCCCTCTTTTTTTCCACAGGACAAATTAATTCTTTTTAAGGTCTTATGCATATAAAGTTGCTTTATTAATCTTTCTGAAACCATGACATTCAAGGAGTCATGATCACGATGATGACGGTCAGATCTAGGGCTTACTGTGGAGAGACACAGTTCCAAGTACTTTAGTCCTCACACTAAACCCATTAGGTAAGTATTATTATTATCCTTATTTTACAAAACAGGAAACCACAATCACTGATAGTTTAAGAAAGTTGACCATAATCACACAAAATCAGTGAAAAAGAAAGTCTCAAGGAGTCAGGATGAGGATGATCAATACTGTCACAATTGGAGAGGTCCAGAAAGAGGAAACCTGAAAAGCAATCTTTATATGTTGTTGGAAAGTTAAAATTAGTGAATTTTAAAGAACCACTTCAGTCAGGTAGTGGAATAGACGCAAGATTGTAAGGCGTTAGATAAGAGTGGCTGGTGAGAAAATGGAAGTAGTGGTTATAGAACACTTATGCTTAACTTTTCCGAATTTCTCCTTTGTTTAATCATGTGCAGTTGAGATAATTAAATCTGTTATTTTACGTAGTTACATCTGTAGTGTTACTCGTATAGCCTCATAAAAGCTTTTTTATATTGGTACTAACTCTCTCTTCTTATTGTCAAATTTTCTAGGATGTGGGGCCACAAGTTGTCGCATCTACAAAGCAGGCTCCAGGACCTGCTGAAGGGAGGAGTTGTACATTGGGCCCTTCAACAGTGCAATTTCAAAAGCTTATTTCCATTAGCTATCAATTCTATCAATTGGCACCATACAGCCTCCAAATCTCTGACCTGTGCTTGGCAACAACATGAAGATCATTTTGGTAAGATACGTGGAGACGGAAACTTTATTTTTAACTGTGATAAAAACATCACATAAAACTTAACATCTTAATCATTTTTAAGTGTATAGTTCAGTAGTGTGAAATATATTTACATTATTGTGCAATGACAGATACTTTTCATGTGGATGGAAAGTACTTTCCATGGAGTTGTAAGGACCTCTAACTATTTATTTAAAAGATTATCCTACAGTTTACAAGAAACACAAAAATAATATAGGGCAACAATAAAAGCTCATCCCAGCTATGGAATGCTGACAAGGGAACACTGCCCTTCTCCAACCCTGTCTCCTTATCTCATCTAAATAAAAAAGAAAGAAAAACCTCAATGTACAGGCGAGAGGATTTCAAAGACACAGACTGGGAATACTACAGCTAAGGAAGGGTTAGGTATCAAAGGGGAAAGAAAACTTGACCCCTGTGTATTAGTTTCCTAGCACTCCTGTAACAAATTGCCACAAACTAGTTTAAAACAACAGACATTTATTTTCTCATAGTTCTGGGGGTTAGAAGTCTGAAATCAAGGCACTTGTAGGACCGTGTTCCCTGTGAAGTCTCTGGGAGGAGATTCTTCCTTGCTTCTAGATCCTTGGTATTCCTTGGGCTGTGGCAACATTACTCCACTCTCTGCCTCCCTCATCACATGCTTTCTTCCCTGTGTCTCCTCTGTGTCTTCAAATCTCTCTCTCCTTATAAGGTCAGAAATGATAAAATTATTAGATTTAGGGACCACCCTATTCCAGTATGACTTCATATCTTTTCTTGATTATCTCCAAATATCCTACTTCCAAATAGCGTCTATTTCACAGGTTCTAAGGCCTAGCACATCAACATATCTTTTTGAGAAACGGTCAACCAGCAACACCCTGGAAAGGGACAAAAACAATTGTGACTCACAATACACAGGCCCACTGTGTAGTCCAAAGACTGAGATTTAATCCAAAGATTAGAGAATGCCCTGCTCCCCACCAACACCACAACCAACTAATAAACCTCCAGTTAAAATAACAGTGGATTACAACTGGAAGAGCTGCAAGAGACAGACTGTTTCTAAGGTGCAGCACAAAGGGAAGGGCCAAGGCCAAGAGGGGAAACAAAAACAAGATCACTAGAAGAATTTGATGCCTCTGGTATCTATAGAGAAAACAAACATCAGGTATAGTCTAACTCATGACCAGATTGATATAAATAGTCACCTTGAAGTCCTGTTTAACTCAGTATCTGGTACTCTATACATGTCTTGCTTTCAACAACACAGTTACAAAACATGATAGAAGGTAAGAAGTAACAAAATTTTAAGTGACAAAGTACCATCAGAACTAGATTCACATATGACATGGGTGTTGAAATTCAAAATAATTATGTTTAATAACTTAAGAACACTAATGGAAAAAGTAGACAAAATGAAGGACCAGATGGATAGCAATGTGAGGGAAAATACAAGAAATAAAACAATCTGACAAATAAATCACAGAAACAAATGAATAATGACTTTGTCTGGTTCATCAGCAGACTTGACACATCCAAGGAAAAAATCAGTGAATGTACAGACAGGTCAAAATCCTGCCATTTGTGATACCATGGATGGACATAGAGGGTATTGTGTTAAGTGAAATAAGTCAGACAGGAAAAGACAAATGCTGTATAATTTCACTTATTTGTGGCATGTCACAAACAAAACATGAACAAATAAACACAGAGAACAGAGTAGTGGTTGCCATATGGGAGGGACCCAGGGAATGGGTGAAATAGGTGAAGGGGGATAAGTGATAACGTTTGCTATCTTGATCTGGGCAATGGTTACATGAGTGTATACACATGTCAAAATTCATCAAGCTATACACTAAGATTTGTACATTTTATCATATGTGCCCCAATGTAAAAAATTTTATAAAGTAAAGAAAATTACAATCAAAAAAGGGAAAAGAAAAAAGATTAAGTATATGTTGTCTATAAGAACGAAAGTTTAAAATGTTAAGACTTAGATTAAAAGTTAAGGGATGGTGTAGTGGCAGGGGATATATGGGAACTCTGCGCCTTTGTCTCAAATCCTAAAACTGTAGCAAAAACTGATAGAATTATACATAGAAATAAACAAATCCATAATTTTAGTTGGAGATTTTAATACATTTCTCTCAGTAATTGATAGATTAAGTAGGTAGAAATCAGTAAGAATATAAATAACCTGAATAGCACTATCAACCAACTTGACCTAAATGACATTTATAGAATAACCTATCCAACAACAGTGAACTATACATTGTTATGAAGTATAAATGAAGCATCCACTAAGATAGACCACATTTTGGGCCATAAAACAAAGCTCAACATATTTAAAATCTAAAACCATAGAGTATGTACTCTGATCATAATGGAATCAACTAAAAATTTTTTTTAAGTCCCAAACATTTGGAAATTAAGCTATGTACTTAAGAAGTCTTTTCTTAAGAAATCTCAAGGAAATTTTAAAATATTTTGAACTCAATTAAAATGTATATACAACTGCAGCTACAATAGTGATTGGAGGGAAGTGTATGGCAATAAATAAATGAATACATTAGAAATGAAGAAAGGTCTAAAATCAATAACCTACTAAATTAGGAAATTAGAGAAGAGCAAATAAACCTAGAACAAGCAAAAGGAAAGAAATGATACAAATTCGAGCAGAAATCAATGACATTGAAAATAGAGGGGAAAAACAAGAAAATCAATGAAACCAAAAGCTGTTTATTTGAAAATATCAGCAAATGGAATTAAGTGGTACAAACTTCCAGTTATAAAATAAATAAGTCATGGGGATAAAAAGTACAGAATAGGAAATATAATCAATAATATTGTAGTAATTCAGTATGGTGACAGATGGTAACTACACTTATCATGGTGAACATTTTGTAATGTACGTAATTGTCAAATCACTATGTGTTACACCTGAAACTAATACAATATGTCAACTATACTTCAACTAAAATTTTTAAAACTAAAATCATAAACGTTAATCTTATCTTTAAAAATGGATATACCTGTAGCCAGAGTAACCAAGAAAAGACAGGAAAAAAATAAATTACCAATATCAAGATTTTTTACCACTGATCCTACGGACACTAAAAGGACAATAAGAGTAATACTCCAAACAATTGTATGCCCATAAATTTGATAATTTAGATAAGTTGCACCAATTCCTAGAAACATACTACTATGGACTGAATTTTGTTCTCTCCAAAATTTGTATGTTGAAGCCTTAACCTCCCACATGACTATCTGGGAGATAGGGTCTTAAAAGAGCTGATTAGGGTTAAATGAGATCATGAGAGTGGATCCCCAAACTGATTGAACTGGTGTCCTTATAAAGAGGAAGAGCCTTCTACACTGCTGGTGGGAATGTAAACTAGTTCAACCATTGTGGAAAGCAGTATGGAGGTTCCTCAAAAAACTCAAAATAGAAATACCATTTGACCCAGGAATTCCACTCCTAGGAATTTACCCTAAGAATGCAGGAGCCCAGTTTGAAAAAGACATATGCACCCCTATGTTTATCACAGCACTATTTACAATAGCCAAGAAATGGAAGTAGCCTAAGTGTCCATCCATAGATGAATGGATAAAGGAGAGGTGGTACATATACACAATGGAATATTATTCAGCCATAAGAAGAAAACAAATCCTACCATTTGCAACAACATGGATGGAGCTAGAGGGTATTATGCTCAGTGAAATAAGCCAGGCGGAGAAAGACAAGTACCAAATGATTTCACTCCTGTGTGGAGTAATAAGAACAAAGGAAAACTGAAGGAACAAAACAGCAGCAGAATCACAGAACCCAAGAATGGACTAACAGTTACCAAAGGGAAAGGGACTGGGGAGGATGGGTGAGAAGGGAGGGAGAAGGGGGAAAACGGGGCATTACGATGAGCACACATAATGTAGGTGGGGGGGACACGGGAAAGGCAGGATAGCACAGAGAAGACAAGTAATGCTTCTATAACATCTTACTACACTGATGGGCAGTGACTGTAATGGGGATGTGGGGGGGTCTTGATAATGAGGGGAATCTAGTAACCACAGTGTTGTTCATGTGATTGTATATTAATGATACCATAATCAAAAAAAGAGGAAGAGACACCAGTGGTGTCTTTCTCTCATTCCTTCTCTCACCAACCCTCTCTCATAGATATTAAGGCAGCCATCTACAAATCAGGAGGAGAGCTCTCACCAGGAACTCAATTGACTGGCACTTTGATCTTAGACTTCTACCCTCAGAACTGTGAGAAAATAAATGTCCATTGTTTAAGCCATCCAGTCCATGGTATTCTGTTATGGCAGCTGGAGCACACTAAGACAAATACAAACTATCAAACTTACTCAAGAAAAAAATTAATAACTTGAAAAGCACCATATCTGTTAAAGAGGTAGAACTAATACTAAAAATTTTTTCAAAAAAGAAAACACCTGGCCAAGATGGTTTTATTCATGAATTCTACCAAACATATAAGAAAGAAGTATTACCAATTCTACACATTCTCTTCCAGAAAATAGAACAGGAACACTTCCCAACTTATTTTATGAGGTCATCGTTACCCTAATACCAAATCTAGACAAAGACAGTAAAAGAAAGAAAATTACAGATGAGTATTACGTGAACATAGACTTGAAAATCCTTGCCAGAATATTAACAAATTGAATCCAATGATATATAAAAAGAATAAATACATCAAAACCAGGTAGGGTTCATCTCAGGTATACAAAGCTCTGTCAACAATAAAAACCCAATCTATATAATTCACTATATGAACAGACTTAAGAAACACCATATTATCATCTCATTAGGTTCAGAAAAATTTACCAGAATTCAATACCCATTTATTATTTTTAAAAATCTCAAAGAATTAGAAATAGGAAGGACTTACTTAACCCAATAAAAGGTATACATGTCAAGAAACTGAATGCTTCTCTCTGAAGATAAGAAACAAGACAAGGATCTCCTT